TCAAGACCGAAACCCTTAAATACTGCGGGCGGAGAGAATTTCCTCCAGCTTATTCTTAAAGAGCCTTCAGGAGCAAAGTTCTATTTCGTTCCGAGTGCCTCTCTTTGGTGCAAAAAAATGACTAGTGAAAGTTTTTGATTCTGCGTGAACTTGGAACAAAGTCTAAACAGTGGATATTACTTTTGTAGATGGGCAAAGTGGATGGCGGTGTGGCATCACTGACTGATCAGTTCGCGGCAGATGTAAGTACAAAATGTAGTTCTTTTGTATCAAACTGCGCTTGAAGTAAAACATAATTTATTGCTTGCTTCTAGGATAATTTTGCAAATCCTTCCTTCCTTTTTAAGCCCCCAATAATCGTCTCTTTTTGGACTATTTTTGCACTTGAGCGTTTTGTTAACCGGTAAGCATTTCCAGTATCTGGAACGCAACTATTTTTTGCATCTTCCGATTAAATGAGAATAGCGAATTGGACATCTACCCTTTTTTGCTACATAAAGGCGGGAAGACGGGGGAGGTGGGCAGGAGAGGGGAGAGGGGGGGGGAATTATTCCCTTACTTAAGATTCGGCTTCACATACATCTACGTCACACTGCGACCTCAATAGCAACTGCGATTCTGTTCCTACGGAATTATGCATTTCCCGGAATCTTGCTTTCCGTATGCCTTCTATTGGTACTGCAGGTATAGGGTCGCGCATCGGTCGTTGGCAAGCTAAGCAACATTTCATGCCCATTGCATTTCACTTTTACGTGTGGTCACAGTGATATTTTCGAGCGCTGCTTATCTGACGGAGAGTCTGCATGCTTTCGTGGTCACGAAAAAAATACTTCAAGAATAGCCTACTCTATTCTCGTGGTACTTCTGTGCAGCAGGAAAAGCTACGCTAGGCCTTTCTGCCGGGGACTGCTTGACCAGGAGTTCCAATTAAAAACTGTGTTCTGAACTATGTACTTTTATTGTCTTGTATTATAATTACCTGTCAAGAAACAGATTTTCAGTAGACGCAGTTAGTCAACCGAAAAATCAGTTTTTAAATTTTAGATGAATATTAACACAGCTGGGGAGACTGCATCGATCAAAACTGCTATTTACGGGCCAGTAAGTTTATAATTTTCAGCTCATATTAAATAAGTACCACAGGCTGACCATCCCACCACGCCTGAATATTGTTTAGTCCAACTGTTACTCGCAATCTCTCACAATACGATGAGGTGCCTGAGCCGAAGATTTTGTATTTTAATAATTCTATTTAGTCTAAAGAGCTACTGCTTTGCCACTGATTCATCAATAACGTAATCGACAAAGGCATTCCTTCCTTTTCCTTTCTTTTTTTTTATGGTTGTTCCGACCAATCTGCATCGTCTGGTGGTCAGCCTTTTGGCGATCATACCGTTACTTTCGTCTCCTGAGGAAATTATTGCTTGAGTGCCTCTTATTACAGAATCACTTTAGCAAAAGTTTAGCCACTTGAACGCTCAGCAGTGTGTGTTGAATGCTTCAAGCATTGCCACTCTCAGAACATGCTGAAGTGCCTTGCTACCAGATTCCGTTCATGAAACCTTAAGGTCTATAATCATTACAGTGTAGAAAAAGACGTGATAAAAAATTTTAGGTCCAGAGCTCGTACATAAGCGTCCCAAACATG